TTATTATTGGTTTGTCGGCATAGATTCGACGTACAAAACCAACAGGTATTTTAAATTTATAGATATGTTATTAGTATTAATTTAAATTTGTATTTTGGATTAGATTTAATGCGATTATAATTTATTTCTTTTGGTCTCATTTTCACAGGTACAAGATGCCGTTGGTCGAGATGATTGGCATGACGCCGTGCAACAATAACTTTCTAATTGCGTATGCCCTCATGAAGGACGAGAAAGAGGCCAGTTATGATTGGGTTCTCGACAAGTTGAGACTTCTCATAGGCTATACGGTAAGAATTTATATGAAGTACATGATTAATTTAATTAGTATATAAACGTAGTTTGTGCAATATGGTAAAAAAATTTGAGGTTTTTTTTGCGTGTCTCACTAATTTTTTACGCTGCTCAGGTGCATCCTAATGCGGTTGTCAGTGACAGAGAGTTGGGCTTATTGACTCCTATTAGGAGGCATTTTCCCCAATCTGCCCACTTACTCTGCACGTGGCACATCAACAAGGATGTAGAAAACAAAGTGTACAACTTGTTTGGGAAAGATAAAAATTTATTTGAGAGGTTCTTGCGCGGTCGGTGGAAGTCGATTATGGATGCCAGTACGTCGGATGAGTACGACGCTGCCGTAGCTCAATTGAATGCAAAATACGGGAATGATTCAAAAGTGGTACAATATCTCGAGCAGACGTGGCTAGGCCACAAGGAGAAGTTTGTGAAAGTCTGGACGAACCAAGTAACACATTATGGCAACACAACTACCTGTAGGGTGGAAAGTGCCCACTCTGTGTTGAAGCAGTGGCTCCGCACGTCGACTGGCGCGCTAGATACAGTGTGACATAAGATTGATAAGGAGATCGAGTCTCAATTGATTGAAATCAAGTACATTCCTTAAATATATTATATATAAGTATAATATATTATATTATATAAGTATATTATATTATAATTTGTTTTGTAATGTATTAACAGGACAGCACTTGAGTCTTCGAGACTTAGGAAGAGTACGGCATATACGGGATTGACTTTCGCGTGCTTGACATTGAGAGTCTCGCATTACTGTCTGAATTTATTGAACGATGAGCTAACAAGGATGCGAGACTTGAGCCATGAAGTTTACTTGCTATGCGGCTGTGTATTGCCTACCACACATGGAATTCCTTGTGCATGTACGCTTCGTACAACACATGATTCTAAAATGGCGATTGGTATTGACATGATCCACGAGTTCTGGAAGACACTAGAGATGTTAGAACCAGGTAATTTGTGGTTAATGTTTATTTATAATTTTCTACTTTCTGATTCATTTTAAATTACACATTAAAGTATATTACTTTGAAAAAAAAAAAACAAGGTGCAGGCAGGTCACACGACTCGTGTGCCTAGTGACACGGGTCGTGTGACACTCACACGACTCGTGTCACATGGTTACACGAGCCGTGTGCCTACTGAGGAGAATGGATAAAAAGCCACGAGGTTTTCACACGACTCGTGTGCCCAGTGACACGGGTCGTGTGACACTCACACAACTCGTGTCATTCGGTCACACGAGTCGTGTACCTACTGAGGAGAATGGATAAAAAGCCACGGGGTTTTCACACGACTCGTGTGCCTAGTGACACGGGTCGTGTGAGCTCACACGACTCGTGTCACATGTTCTTACGAGTCGTGTGACTAGTGACTCTCTGAAAATCTGGTTAATGTTTATTTATAATTTTCTACTTTCTGATTCATTTGAAATTACACATTAAAGTATATTACGTTGTTTAATTGTTTCAATTTTTGGATCGTATACTTTTAGGGACAAATCACCAGAGCCAGCATAATCAGGGTGCCTGGACAGATGTTGAGATTTTTCGGACGCGTACCAAAGAGGTTGAAGCGAGCGATCCTGCGACGATGCGGTACTACAATAACCTCATTTACGGTCAGCTTTACCCGGACCAACAAGCATATGGAGAACCGGAGGTTAAGGAAAATACGCGAGGTCGTCCCAAAAAAACTGATTCTACTAAGCGTGAAGCATCGCGATGGGAGTATAGGGATAATTCACAAGGTCGTACAAGCAATTCTTCGCGTGGACGCACTTCTTCGCGTGGACGCACATCTTCGCGTGGACGCACTTCTTCGTGTGGAATGAGAACCAGCCAATCTTCTGAACCGTCACAAGAGGCACACCATGGTGACATTTATTTTTTATAAAGTTGAACGTTAATTAAAATGTTAATTTACAAAATTATATTATTTTATTGTGACGTGAAATTATTATGATGTTCCAGCTGGTACTGAGACAGATATATTTAGCTTTAAGTACAGCAGCAGTGTTCTCTGCCATATGTTGGACTACGTAGTGAGCTACTTGAATGTGAAAGCAGATAGGAACTGCGGATGGCGGGTCATCGCGAGTTACATTTACGGGGACCAGGAGATGTGGCAACTCGTATGAGAGAACGTTGCCAATGAGATTTACAGCCATCGTGCCTTGTACGAGTACATCTATTACAGGGATATCGACACGTCACTCGCTCGGATAAGGTGGGACGAGGGCGCTTTTTATTTTTATTAGATCTGACCCAAATTGAGCAAGGGCGGCCACTTCGCGATATTGTGCCAATTCCAGTTTTGAACTCCCGCATACTTCTTTCATAGCTTGATTATTATTTTGCTAATATTTATATTTTATATTTATTTTTTTTTTGTATATTATAATTATTATTATTCAAATGCTAATATTTTAATTTTATAAGGTGGGACGGGGGCGCTTGTGGCACGAATCACTGGATGGACACTCCAACCGACCTCTACCCTGTTGCAACCCTATTTAATGTGGTTGTCGTTCTTTTAGGCTCTGGTCGCGATGGTCGTTTGTCCAACCAGTTCAGCTGCACAGTATTGCCGCTCGCTGCAGCATCAACGAGTACAGGGCCACGCCGTGAGATTTGCATATGTCATTTTGGTAACTACGCACACTACATTCGATTAGATTTGACTCCGGATTGTCCATTACCGCCTATTCATAGTATGTGGTTCAGACACCGAACTTCTTCGGTGGAGAATTGGGAGAATCAGTACAAGTCTAGGTTGCAATTATGGTTTGATGCTCAAAATAACCCCTGATGTATGACATATTTTCTTCCATTCGATGTTCAGTTTTATGTTGTTGGGAACTTTAAAAAGATAATGTTTTTTTATTATATGCTTTCATTTTATTCTTGTTTATAAAAAAAAAAAAAAAACATGTCGCGCGTAGAGTGGGTTGACACGACTCGTGTGCCAAGTGACACGAGTCGTGTGATGTCACACGACTCGTGTCACACTGTCACACGAGTCGTGTGACTCATGAGAAAAATGACGAACCGGCTACGGCTTTTTCACACGACTCGTGTGCCAAGTGACACGGGTCGTGTGACACTCACACGACTCATGTCACTTGGCACACGAGTCGTGTGACTCATGAGAAAATTGTCGAATTGGTTACAACTTTTTTCACACGACTCGTGTGCGTAGTGACACGGGTCGTGTGTGTGTGTCACACGACCCGTGTCACTTGCCACACGAGGCGTGTGACTCATGAGAAAAATGTCGAATTAACTACAGCCTTTTCACACGACCCGTGTCACATGGTCACACGAGTCGTGTGACCTCACACGACCCGTGTTACCCTGTCGTGTGATGGGTCGTGTGGACCTGAAAGTATGTCAAAAATTGAATGTTTTTTCACACAACTCGTGTCACCGGGTCACACTAGTCGTGTGGGATGAGAAGAATGGAGAATTAGCCACGATTTTTCCACACGATTCGTGTGCGTAGTCGACATTATTACAAATTCGTCTGATCCGCATAATGTTTGACAAAAAAAAACATCATAACATCATTACACATTTATTTGGAATTGACGTAATCCAACTTAAGCTTAGCCAATTCGTCTGATAACTGCGCCGCC